TTAAACAAGACAGGGATTAGCACCATCCACCAACTAGCGGCTGGTAGAATCTGAGTGTGGCTGGTAAATATTCAAACACTTTAATGGCTAAACAACCTGCCTTCTGCACTTCAAGTTGCCCGGTAAAAAAAAAGAAAGAGACCAGAGGGACACAGCCACGTCCTTCGGAGGGATGATCCTTCTTTTATCCGCAGCACCAGTTCCTCCTGCTGCCGCTCTGTATCATCGTCGAGATTCAGCTGATTTTCTCACCAAGGCCTTATTTCACTGCCTTGCTCGAGGGCTCATCAGGTATTCTGTCACCTGGAAGTCTCTGTTAAAGTCCAGTCTCCCAGCAGACCTTGCAGCTTTTTATCGGCGCGGCTGGTGGCGGGAGTGGCGAGGCAGCGAGGAGGGGCTGGAGGAGGAGGAAGGGGAGCAGGGAGACGGCTGGTGGCGGGAGTGGCGAGGCAGCGAGGAGGGGCTGGAGGAGGAGGAAGGGGAGCAGGGAGACATGGAGGCCAGGGAGGCGGAGGCGGCGGCGTCCTCGGCCTCCTCCAGCTCGCCACCCCCCCCCTCCGTGCAGCTCCTGGCTGACGCTGGACTGCAGCGCGGCTGGGGTCAGCCACTCTTTGGGCAGGCAGCTCTGCAGGAAGGGCACGCAGGAGCTGAAGTAGGCCAGCCGGTTCACCCAGCGAGGGACCTCCCTGCCACATAGGATCTGAAGGGAGGGAGGACAGAGACAAAGGTTGTTGTTTAGCGATTTAATTTAATTTATAATTTTTTTAAAGTCACCTATTGTGCCAAATCCACTTTTTTTAATGTATTTCCCCCTCTGTGTAAAGAGATTCTGAAAGTTTCAGGAACAAAGATTCTCTCTCTTTTTGTCCTGATCCATTTATATAAAAACCTGTCTGAAAATGAACTGATCAGATTTTGGCCACTTTATGTCATAACGATTTGTTGGCTTGAGTAACCATTAGCCAATCACCAACCAAGGTAACCCCCCCCCCCTCCTTATCACCTGAATCTCCTCCTAGAGCACCATTGAGTTCTTTTTAACCAAATATCTCTCAGAGGGGCGTGGGGAGGGGCTCCTTATTTTCATCTAAAGTAACAGACAGAGAATCAGCACTTTTGAAACAGGGCTGAAACAGAGGGGATTATGGGATGCTGCAATGATCTGTTTGGTATTTGGAGCCAAACACTTCAGAGACATGTTCTGTATATATCTGAGACCTATAATATATTGATGAAAAACAGTATAATAGGGGACCTTTAAGGCTGCTTTGATACAGGGTATATACAATTGGCAGGGTCACACTGCTCTTTAAGAGACACATACAATAACTTTTCAAAGTACCTAAACCAAAAGTGTCTGGACTTGATACAACAATTAATGGATATTGTCACTTTGTTTGTTTATTTTACCAGCTGCTCATATTCACTTTGATTTTAGGTTTTTTCTTGATGATTTTGAATGCTGACCTAGCTCTGGTCACTTCTGGTGTGAGATTCAAGTAAATATGACCAGTGGATTGTTTCCTTTTCAAACATTTCAAGTGTTTTTGGTTTACATGATTTAATTAGTTACGTTTTTTCGTGTTAACAAGATAAAGGATTCCAGTTGGAAAGGGCGAAGAAAATAAGTACAAATATTCTAAATATACCTTGCACTTTAACTTATTTTGTTATTTTTAGGGAAGACCTTTCTTTAAAGAGTCTAAAACACATTTAGCTGACATCCCCACCCACAGCAGGACATTGCTTTGCTTCCATGCTGGTCCTCTCTCTTCTTCATTCACTGTTGGTAATACACTGACTGTGGATAAGTACCTCATATAACCCCACCTCAACACATCCTAAAACGCTCCCTTTCATGTGTTCTAGGTCAGAAGACATCTAAGGGGCTAATCAGAGGCAGCTGAGCTTGCTTTGGAAGACATTTGAAACGATGAAAGAGGAAAATACATTCTTCCTTTCCCTTGGGAGGTGACTCAAGGGAAAGAATAAACAACATTTCCTGGTATTCTAGGTCTTACATTTAGAAAAAAAGCCAAGACATTCCAGAAAGCTCCATGACCTGTGGCAACCCAGACAGAGTAAATAGTGCCTCGATGGGAGGGATTAATTCATGTACTGTAACTACCCCACTGTTCCATATGAGAAGGTTTGCTTCTTAGAGGAAGACTTCAGAGTCTCTGGTGTATTTCTCTTTAACCTCATTCCCTTTACAGACTAGCATGCTGGACGGGCAGCAACACTGTCAACGTAAGGGCTAATTATCCTCACTGTATCAGAGCTCTTACAGCCTTATGGGGCGAGTGGCTTCCAAGAAAGGCTTTGTTTCCAGTGAAAGGGCTTACTTTTGCTCTTACATTTTTTGCTCGTTTTCTTTTATTACTGCCACATTTTATTCCATATTTTATTCCATTCTATTTCTATGTAAATACTGCTATATTTTTTATTATTTTAAATATGTTTTAATGTTATTATAGTTTTGTTAAAATAGTTCTCTATCTGTGTTTTTAATTTTAGTTGTATGTATGCACCATGCCATCAAGTTACATGTATTCAACCTATCTGGTAATAAACCTGATTCTGATTCTGACATTGCAGAAGCTGCTGAGAGGCTGTTTTTTTTTTTTAATGCATGCTTTTTTGAACACAAAAATATCATACAAAGAACTTTATTTTGTAGTTTCCACCGTGCCATATGCAGCCAGCAGATGATACTAGAATATACACTTTGTTTAGGCTGCAGCAACTTCCTCGTCTCCTTATGTTTTGACACAGGGGGAAACGTAGGCGCTCAAAAATGCAAATCACTCTGGCTTGCTACACAGATGATCTCCCAGATAAGCACAGCCTCTACTAGGAGGAGGAAGCAGACATCTGCAGGAGAGAAACAGACAATCTTTAAAAATCACAGGGTGTATTGTCTGGCTGATTTATAAAAAAAGAGCTGTTGCTGCAGATTTCACACTGCAGTCACATGTTTTCAGAAATACTCCTTTACACTCACAAGCTTATAATCAGCAACTCCAGCTGTTCATGGCAGATCAGCTTTTTATAGCACCGTGTGATTCCTGATGTGAAAAACAACAACTGCTTAGCATCTTTTTTAACCATTCATTCGTCTCTTTAAACCTGCATTCATAATTATATATATATTTTTTAATCTAATCCTGATAAAGGGAGTGCATGTACGTAGACACGTTAGTTTAGCTGCTATAGGCTTAGACTGTCGGGGGACACCTTACTTCTTCCTTCTGTCTGTCTGTACCTGTGTACTCTCATGTTCCGATTAACCCAGCTTCCCCCAAATTTCTTTTGGTGTCTATATCTACGCCGGGATCCTGAGTCGTGGCTGATCCTGTTGCTGTGGTCCTGAGTCCTGCATCCTGAGTCCTGTGTCCTGGATCCTCTATCCTGAGTTCTGGATTTGAGTCCTGGACTTCGAGTCGTGGCTGAACCTATCTCTGCGGTCCTGCCTGACTCTCATCATACTATTTCCCTGATGGCTCCCACAGGATTGTTGACATCCTCGTGGATTCATCTTCTTATTATAGAGACATGCATGTCCAAACATTTGGTCTACCTATGTTGTAAATGTATTATCTTTTCGATTTACACACGGCATCTATTGCACGTCTGTCCGTCCTGGGAGAGGGATCCCTCCTCTGTTGCTCTCCCTGAGGTTTCTCCCATTTTCCCCTTTAAACTGTGGGGGTTTTCTCTGGAAGTTGTTCCTTGTACGATGTGAGGGTCTAAGGACAGAGGGTGTCGTATTGTCATACTGATATTCTGTACAAACTGTGAAGTCCACTGAGAAAAATGTAACATTTGTGATATTGGGCTATATAAATAAACATTGATTGATTGATTGATTGATAAAGCCTTAGATGCTAAATGTTACACTTCGTTCACAAGCTAGTTGCTAACTGTACACTCAAAGTTATTTCACTAAACACTTGTCTGTGTTATTTCTCTGTTATGATGCTTCAGTGAACTATTTACATTCTAGGTGAGACTCTTGATCCCAGGAAGTCGGAAAGATTAGTGACATGGTCTTATTAGGAACAAAGTTACATATTTAAAACTTACTTTGATACATTTTTACTTTTAGTTGCTGGATATAAGCCTTATTTGAGCCCATAGCTCTTGTTGATTTCACCTCATAGTTTACACTGAATAGTCGTGCTACTGTTCTTTAATGAAATACAAATGTGACACCTTGAGAATTGTTAAGAAAAAAACAAATCAAGCCATTTTCAAATGTTTCATCCACATAGCAAGTTGCAGTTCAATGCCTTGAAATCAAGATCTGAGTCAAGCACTTCAAAGGTTCTCTCTGGAGAATCCATTGTTACGCTTGATGTTTTAATGCTGCAACAACCATGTTCTGCTCCGTCTTCTTTAAGTCAACCTCCCATATTAATGAGGTGACAGTAAACATGACAATCGAGTCCTTAGAGCAACGATGCTCCCCTAGGGAATCAGCCGTGTCAATATTATTGTGTATATGTGTTTGTTTGATTATGGTGTCTTATATACGGTATATACGGTAGAATAGATGCATTTTTGTGTCCACGTAAGTGTTAATGTCTGAATGTGTCACTCTTAGTCTTGACACGTGGTGTGTAAATCTGTGTGTAGCATTTGTTTTGTTAGTGTGTTTGCCAGCTGGCTCTGCATGCCCGGGCTTGTGTCAGTGTGTGTTAATCCCCATCTCAGTGCTAGATGCTAACTGTAAGACTCCCTGCTCATTAGTCACACCAGGGTAAGCTGATTGAAAGTGCACACACAGTCACGACACACAAACACACAGCTTGTTCAGTGGCTTACACTGAGAGCAGGAAAGAAAAATCAAGTGATTATTAAACTGAGTGTTTCGTTTATTTCTGAAGCACATGTCAGTTTCGGTCAGCCAAAATGGTGCGGTGCTGCACAGTGTGTGTGTGTGTGTGTGTGTGTGTGTGTGTGTGTGTGTGTGTGTGTGTGTGTGTGTGTGCACTTACCTCCGACAGTGCAGAGGAGAAGTGATTGCAGTTCTTGTGCATGAGGTGGTAGGCGTTTCCTTTGTACTCCTTCCCCATCTCCTCCACGATGCGCTCCACATCCTCCTCTGTGAAGTCGGTGCTGCCCAACACTATGGCTTCTCTGCAGAGGAGAGAGGAGAGAGGAGAGGAGAGAGGAGAGAGGAGAGAGGAGAGAGGAGAGAGGAGAGAGGAGAGCGTGCAGAGGCAGGTGTTACTAACGCTTACTCAGATGAAACATCAACAATGAATTCAAGACTTTTGGTTAACCTTCTTTTGCGCAATCAAGGTGCCTCATCATAGACTTGTACGAACAGATTTGGCTAAGGATGGTGTCATTAGTTTTGAATGCTATTTAGTCATGAACCAAAAGGGTTGGGCACTTTCAAAATGATATATATTACAAATTACTAGTTACTATGTATAGTTATTTGTAGTATTATTGTTACTATATAACCACAGTTCAACTAGTGGTGGGTAATATTTATAGCCACAGGGCAAGTGTCCGTATGACGTCGACAGTTTTCAATTAAAACTACATTTTCACAACATATCACCTTATTGTGAAACGGATTAAGATTTATTTTGAAAAAAACACTGCATATTTTAGAGTATCAGACCAACAGAAACAGTCTGGCTATCAATGAACGTAAGTAGGGTGCATTGTCTGTCGATCATGCATACCTAAAAACAATGCCATGGTTAAAATATGAAATAAAATGTATTTTAGAGTAAAATGTATAACATGGCTGGTAAAAAGGTAAATTAAGCTGGAATAGGATTTTCAAGATTTATTGACCTATTATACCTGAAATAATATTTGTATATAATATTTTGCATTGGGAGACATTTGCTTTGTATTTGACATTGAGTCACAACAGCGGGAGATATGTAGGCATTTGTCCCAGATAACCCATAGTTATGGTCTACTGGTCTGCATAGAAACAGCAAGTGTGTGTGTGTGTGTGTGCAAGGCCGAGTCAGTCTAAAGCCACAGGGCAGATGATCTAGAGCAGAAGTAATGCACAGTAACTCCACACACACACACACACACACACACACACACACACACACACACACACACACACACACACACACACACACACACACACACACACACACACACACACACACACACACACACACACACACACACACACACACACACACACACACACACACACACACACACACACACACACACACACACACACACACACACACACACACACACACACACACACACACACACACACACACACACACACACACACACACACACACACACACACACACACACACACACACACACACACACACACACACACACACACACACACACACACACACACACACACACACACACACACACACACACACACACACACACACACACACACACACACACACACACATTAAAGTGACAGGAGGCTCTCCTGCTTCCCCACAACAGACCAGAATGTTACTAAGTAAATAATATTACAAAATGACCAAACACAGCAATGACACAATGACAAGCCCTCAGCAGTTCTGCTGAATTAACGTATTAAATTACATTACATTTCATTTAGCTGACGCTTTTATCCAAAGCGACTTACAATTACCAATTACAGGGACATTCTCCCTGGAGTAACTAAGGGCTAAGTGCCTTACTCAAGGGCAACAATAATTTTCTGAAATTTCACAGAGGGTTATATGTCATTGGCCTAAAGATCAAGCAACCTTATTTAAATGACATGTAGGATCAAAACATATAATAAATACCTAACAATATACTGCAGTCCTGTTCAAGGCCACAAACCAGTATGAAAAATCCCCCTGCAATCAATGAAAACCTAAACACAGAACATTATACGCTTTGAAAACATATGGTTTGTTGCAGGAAAGTTACAACAAAATGCTACATTTTCTTCTCCCTCTCTGTTTTCTATAACTATTTCTCGGTCCCAGACAAGTCAGCTGCCTTGAACCATGAGGAAAAAAAGTGTGAAATCAAAACATTTTTCACATGCTGAGCTCTCTATCCCTTTAGTATCTGTGGTTCAGCAGCAGTGACCCGTAGCCCTCATTACAGGAAGACACCGGCTCACTGACTGACTGTTAGACAATGATTATTTGACTGTCTGCTCCTGTTTGGTTCAATGAATAACTCATGAACCAAACATCGAAAGAAGTCTACGGTGCTTGGCATCAAAGTGTTTCTGAGACTGCACAGTCAGAGTGTATTCAGTAGCTCATGAGTGGGTGAAAAGCACGCTGGCGAGATTACATGTATTATAAATGCTCCATGTTACTCTGAATAAACCAGGCTACTCAGGTAATCAGAAAACACTCTTACCTGCTGTGTTGTTACCCTGTAAACCTGTGATTCATACCACAGGTCGGTATCAGACCTCTTCACTCCTCCAGACATTATTTTCGGAGGCATGGCTTTCTTATTTGAATTGTACTAGTAATAGAAGATGCTCACAATGACAGCACTGGTTGCTACTTCACTATATAAGACTGTAGTGTCTCCAAAAGTCTATGTCAGAGAGACTCTCTTAGAGTTTTTAAACACAAAACAGCAGCGGGGTCAGCAGCGTATTCAAATTCTCAGTTTTGGGGATGTTGTCTTACAAAGACTCTCACGTCAAACTGGCCCAATATCTAGTCACCTGACCTGTTGCCGACAGGCTGGAAGGCTGGAGGCACATGTGGGAAACAAAAAAAGACATGTATGCCTGCAATTGCGCGCATGTTAAACCAACATCTCAAACTTACTTGAATTTAAACGTCTCGCCGAGTTCTGTTGCGTCACCTGGTGTAATCTCAAAGATCCCTGAGAACGGGTACGGGTGTCCGCCATAGGCAAACTCTAAACACACACACACACACACACACACACACACACACAACATAAAAACATTAGTGCAAATCATTCCCATGCAGAAAATCGTAGGTTGTTATTTCGCACAAGTAGCCAAATAACAACCGTAAAACAATTCAGACATGTTTGAAGTATGTTTTGAATTCTGATTGGAAAGCGTCCTTTATGAAACGCCATCCACAGGGAGTGAACTGATATGTGTGGTGTTATATTTCTGCGTTATTTTTACCTCTTCCATAGATCTCAATCCCTGAGTGAAAGACTCCGATGCCCAGAGTGGTGGTAAACTCATTGATCCAGTACTGAAAATAGGAAGAAAGGTCAATGTAACATGTTATTTGTATATATGTATCACTACATGGATGGACACAGTTTTAACATGTTTAGTTCCAGTAACCATACAATACAACGACGTATGATAAAGTGTGAACTGCATATGTGAAAATGTCTCTGAAATGTGTCAGCATCTATAGAAACTCCTTTTTATTTGTATGACGTAAAGTTATTTCGATTTTTCCAAAAATGTGTACCCTATTTTTGCGTTTTATCTTGAATTATTATACCATTAGTAAGGAAGTTTACCAACAACCATCATTACCTGACAAGCGTCTTTCAGTTGTTTGATTAAGTATAGTTAGTGATCATATTTATTAATTTGATATATTTATAAAATGGTGACATCCATTACAACTTCCCCAAACTTATAGTGAAGAGTTCAAGTTTTTCATTTGATCAAAACAGTCCAAAATGCAAACAAGTATTGATGTAAAAGAGAGAAGAGAAGCAAATCCTCACATGTGAGAATGTTTAAGAATTGAACAGATTTTCTAAATTGTTAGAGTTTATTTTAAACAAAGTCTATCGGTGGACTAAACGATTGTTTCAGCAGACCACAGCCTATCTTATTAACATATATAACATGTAACCTTTGCTTGTAAACAACTATCTGTTGCAGTTACACCACAGACAGCAGCTGGAGAGGCAGTGAGATCTGTGAGCCTCTTATGTTTACAAAAGATCCTTTACACACACAAACAGACACAAGAAAAAGCACACACAAAAAATCAATAATTGCATTAGCAGTGATGGCTTCATCTTTTCAGCGCTGTGCCTAACATCCTGCAGCTGCAAGGCGATTGGTCAGGCTGTTGCTAGGCAGAGTTTGATACTGTTATTATCACAGAGGATCTGCATTGCAAATAGTTCTCTCTGCATATTGTAACTGTTAGCGCACAAACTGTGATCATACAGGTAATGAGGACACTGCACCGCCCTCTGGCTGTTTGCACTACAGCAACTGTGAGGAGGTTTTTCTACCTTCACTGCAAACTTCAGTGTCGACTTGTGAGCTCCTTTCTACTTGTTGCAGACCATTTCAGGTAATAACAAACTACGTTTTCGAGTTGTTGCACTGTGACTGTTAGTAATGACTGCTGGAGAGAAGTGTCACCTTTCTGAAACCTGAGATGTGAGTAGTAAAGTGTAACACAACCAGGGTGAGCAGTGATGGGAGTTCACTCCGCTAACTTTGACCAATCGCAGGAATTTGTGTACGTAAATTGATTATTAAAAAGGGATAGGGAATGCACTCATACTACAGGTCATATTTACGTGCAGTTTACTTACAATAAATAATAGTAAACCAATGGGAAATGCAAGACATCCAGCAACAATCTTCATTAACAAAGAAACCCTTGTTCTTCCTGGAAAAGTGTTTCTATGCATCCTATCTTATTAACTATTTTATGAACTCAAAATGCATTTCTCTAACAGCTACTAAATGTACTCTTAAAATCAACCCCTCAATGAACAGAAAACACGCTAAGAAACTACAAATATGTCATTACAAGGAAAGGAAGCGTGCAAGGAAGTAACCTTTTTCTCGGTTTCTACAAGCCTCTAGGTGTTTCTCAATGTCGAGGAAGGCTGCTCCAGAGCCACTATTTCAAGGATGCTACGTCATCGAGTCCCGCCGAAGGACTGTTCCAATGTCCAGCATACTTGGAATTCTACCGAGGCCGGCGTACTTCGTTGCGGGAAATTTCGAGGCTGCACATGTGTAGACTCCGCGGTCTTAAAATCCCCACAATGCTTTGCGCACGGACCAATTTCCAAATCTTTGGCGGAAATCGCGCTCCATTTAAGGCGGGGCCTCGCATATGACGCACACCTGCACACCTGTTAGCCTGTTCCACCATTCTTCGTTTTCCGAGGCTAGGGGTGCGTCTCACTTTGGTTATTTTTCATTTCCTCGCTCCTCGGGCTCGGTATCACCGGAAGTTGATTTGTCTGCGCCATCTTGAGTACCGTCCAGGTGGCCTTATTTTTGCTGGAGGATCGAGGAGTGATAACGGAGGAGCGATAATCGAGGAACTACCAGACCATCCTCCGGTGAAATCCTCAAACACTCGCCCCGCCCCCTTACTGTGTATCGCTCACTGATTGGACGATGCAGCGCATGCACTGATCTGGCTGCTGTCAGACAATCAGCTGTGCGGCGTCATCACAAACGGACGCCTCTTCATGTGACGCTCCGGAGGAAACAACGTCCCATTGCTCTTAAAACTAATTTCCCTGCTTCTCGTGGTTTCCTTGCGTCTCTCCTTGCTTCCCTGGTGGGAGGGACTAGTCGCAGGGAAACAACGCAAGTGAGGGACGCAAGGAATCCATTTAACCGAAGTGAGATGCAGCTTAGGAAGGATTCTTGCATCGCTTCTGAAGGACCTGACTCGGAGGTATATGTGCTACCAAGCAAGCCTCCTCGACATTGAGAAACACCCTGTGTCTCGGGCTTTTCCTAGGAGGTGAGAGCTTTAAGTGGTTCCAGACAACTGAATACTAAGAATCCACAAGAGCATTTCAGTTGCAAAAGAAGCCCACAGCTACCAGAGGACTGTAAAAGCTACACATGACTTAATAGAAAGGAACACCGTAAACACAGATACAAGTTTACTCTGCATTTAGCAACAACTCGTAATCCCTCTGAGAGGCATGTCAGTTAGACGCCCAAACACGAAATATCAAGAGCAGCCACAGGATGAGCCTCTGTGTATGTTGGCAATATTTTGAGAAAGCTAATCTGCTAGTTGAATACGCTACCCCCGCCCTCGGTGGTGCAATAAGATTATTCTCTGAGTGCTTACTACTTCAAAGCTTGTTAAAGCTCGCCTCCACCACCGCACAGAGATCATGCCTGGTACAATATTTAGAAAGAATAAAAGACAGAGAAGGGGAGAAATGGCTGCTGCAGATAATGCCTCTATATTTGATCATCTTATTCCATGCTTTAGGGCAGTGCTATCATTTTCTCTGTTAAGGATTTGAATCTCAAACCATGGTAGTTTGGTGAGCAAAGAGACGTGAAATGTCTTCAGTGGTTACTTGTACATCACTGCTTTAAATTCTCTAAAAGGGGACACATGAAACCAAACAGAAATCACAAATTGATGAAAGTAAACAACAGCTCCCAGCCACACACAAAACAAAAGGTATATTTGAGCAGTTTTGCTAATTAAAAGTCTGCTATGCTTTAGTATGTCAATCAAAAAGGTACATTTTGGCCTATGTACTTGATTGATTGGTTGATTTACTCCAGTCATTGATCCCAAAACTAGACTCAAAACAGTGTTACTGAGGTTGCTTTACTAATAAAAGATCAATTTGCTAATGGAAAAGTGTCCAGAAAGCAGTCATTCATTGATTAGCAAGTCTGCCCACAATGCTCTACAAAACATACAATGCTGTTTTTAGTCAACTTTCTGAAATGCAGTAGCTTTAACCTTTCTGCTACATGATGCTAAACTGAGGCTGGTGCTTTGTAGTGTCCTACATACAAGATACACTTATTTATCTTGACTTGTCACTCTTTACTCTTTGCTGTAAGACAGCCCAGTAGATGAACTGGAGTCATGACTTCTGCATGTTCCTAATTGATCCAAGGCATTATCCACAGCCAAAACACAACACAACATGCTCTCTGAGTACTTGACACTGTTAAACCTAATACACACACACACACTCTCAAACACACTCACAGATACAGTAGTAGAGCAGGCGGACAGGTGGTGTGCAGATAAGGCCGACTCATTAGAGCAGAGCACTAAAGCACTCAATGCTAGCCTGGAAAATCCACTTAGCAGAGATGGGACCTGACGGAGGGGGACTGTAGAAGAAGAAATGGAGCGTGGTCTGCACTCCAGGCTGCACAGATATTCCTGAAAGTCACGTGACAGCATTGATCCTCAAATGCAAGTGTCTTTCTGTCTTAGCGTGAATGTTCAGAGTCACATGTTTTGCAGTGACAGATGCTCTCTCTGTGCCACCATGCGGCCCCCCCAGCCCCCGACCAGGCTGTATTTCAGTCAGCGCTCTGTGCTGCCACTGATCATTGCTCGGTGTGAACATCTGAGACGGTGTGGGGGATCCTGCCGTGTGTGTCACCACTCTCATGACCTCTGCTGTTGCCTCATCTCTGCAGTTTCTTGACTTCCTCTTAGATAGAAAGCTAACAGACTAACACGTTCTAAGATTAGCTTGAGGGCAGTCTGGCATCGTGGTGCAACACACTAATGTTGCAATTCAAATGCATAATCCAGGTGCAAAGAAGACACATGTTCTTACCTTATCAATAAGGGTTGCACAATTAATCAAAATGTTATGGAAATCGCAGTTAGCACAATATTTGTTAAAGGCAAAATATGCGGAAATAATATTCTGAAATAATAATGTTTCAAAAAAGGTAATTCTGTCTAATATCGTGAATCAAACCGCAATTGCAATATCAATCATAATAATCGCAATGAGGGATTTTTGTTATATTAAAACACTTAAAGGAACATGTGCAGCTGTGTTATCAAGGAAACTAGAAGTATCCGATAGGGATATTGATTGAATGAGGAGCAAAATAAATCTTGATCGAGACACCCTTAGCTATTGACAAAGTGCCTAAACATAGTCGCTAAGCAGTCACCCAGCACTCATAAGCTAGAATTGACCAAAATGTGGACAGCATCAGTCAACCAGCAGACAGAAAGTCCTGCAGTCACTCAGAGAGCTTGCAGCCGGTTGTAATCCCAAACAGTCAGTCGGTCACTTTCCCGAGCCATGAGAGAACAGCCTGATCAATAGACAGAGGAAGTGTTTAAAAGGAGAGGCATGAATGAATGGACCGCAGCCATCGCCTCATTGTCCGCAATGAACTCGAGCTGCAAACAAGCCAATGTCTTGTTCCCACAGCATCACTGTAAGAGTCAAGGAAAACGTGCACATTGGTTCTGTTACTTCAAAACCCACTTCTGAAACTCAATATGGATAACAACTGAACGATCAACGAACAGAAAGCACAAGAATGCCCGCAGCTGGAAATTGAAGTTACACATGTGTTTGTGTTAGGTATGTATAAGAAGCTTTCGTAAGCCTTTGCTGGTGAGTGCGTGCCATGGCCCCTGCAGCCATTCACATGGATGGAAGTGAGACAGAGAAAAAAAAGCTCTTCAGTTGTTACTGAGAAGCAATGTTGACCACAAGTCAAGTGGAAAGCATGAGGAAGTGAAAGAAAGAGGGGGAGGGAGTGCATAAGATAGCATTAGGGATGAAATGTAGAATGATAGTAGGTAGGAATGAAAGATATGAAGATAAGTGACTGAATTAACAGCTGAGAAAGGAAAGGAGGAATAAACAGTGTAGTTATTTGGAGATAATATGAGTAGGACTTATAAAAGACTCTCCCTAATGTCAGGGTGTTATGCTACTAATGTACTCTACACTGCATTCTTCCACAAGGAAACATCTTTGTACAGATTCTCAAAGGGATTGTTTATTGACTTGAATTCTCAACGTCGCTCCACATAAAACCGACTCTAACCTCCTGATCTCTGGCCTGTGAGGATACATTGACCATGAGCTAAAAAGGGAACACAACAGCAATAAATCAGATTAGAAATAGAAGAAAGGGGGGCAGCAGCAGGGCAGGACAAATCATGTCTTGAAAGAAAGGACGTTTGAGTTTAGTCAGCAACAACAAATATTTCTTGATACTTGATATCGTCTGGATGTTTACGGTGTATAATGGTGGAAAAGTGGACAAAACCATAATAACAAACATGGTGAACATTTAAGACAAGTTGTGGTTTTCCAGCTAGGTGTCCATCCACATTGTCACCAAAGAAAACACTGCTACTGCCTGTTTAATACCCCTAAACAAAACAAATGCCATTGTAAGTGTAATCTGTCTGCCACAGGAAATCCATATCAATCAATGATTCATCAACACATCAGTCAATCTGCACCCCCTCCCTCAGTGACTCACTCCTGCACGGTGACAACACAGTGACTCAAATTCAACCTCTGGCTCGTTCTGTAACAAAGAGACGTACATTTTCCTCCTGTAGGAAATGCTGTGTGTGTGAAATCGTCTTTTACTTTCACATCCACTTTGGATTTTCCGGCAGTTTGGTTTAGAGTCCCGTGTTTTTTGTCCTGGGTAACGATATATCCGTAAGAACCACTAAGGTTTCTCTACAGACTTACATGGATGAATGGATATAAAAAGGAAACACTTAAAGAAATGGTGACCTCTGTTTGGGTCATCAGGTTTTACTGACCGCTGTAAATCCTTCACTCGAGTTGTTTTTCTGTTCTTTCTACAGAAGCATAAGACGTCCAACATCCAAAAAAGCCCTGGTGTAGGTGCTTAAGTTTAAAATATTCCAAAAGCATTTAATGTCAAGCATGTTTTTGCATTTGAAGCTGCCTCTCGCTGCCTTGCTCCATCGTGTGTTTGGTATAGATGAAGACATTCCTAAAAGGTGAAACTGAACTAAAAATAGCAAAGTTTGTGTACTGAATTGAAGAGTGGTTCATAATCATTTGAAAGTCCATTTGATATTATCAGAGGTGGAAAAAAGTACTCAGATCTTGTGCTTAAGTAAAAGTAGAGGTACCAGAGAGTAGGAGTAAGTAAAAAGACAATCAAAATGTTACTCAAGTAAAAGCAGTGGCATCAAAATGTACCATAAGTAAAAGTACTCATTATGCAGATTGGCCCATTTTAGAATCATATATATTATATGTTTTCATTATAATTATGAATGTTGTCAAAGCTGGTAAAGGTGCAGCTAGTTTGAATGACTTTGTATACTGCTGCTTGTGACTTTACTCCAGGTGGAACTAAAGTCTGATTTAAGTGTTGATTATATTTCACATCCTTAATCCAAATCTGCAAAGTAACTAAAAGTATCAATACATGTAGTGGAGTAGAAGTACAAAGTAGCAACACATTGAAATACTCAAGTAAAGTACAAGTCTGTGAGTGACAAAATAATGTCCAGATATGGGATAAATAAAGTATCTATCTATATATATATATATATAAATCACCTTTTTATGATGGAGTTTGGGCTTTGCTGTTGACATGTACACAGCACAACCATAATACATGGATAAAGTAGCAAAGAAGTCATCAAAAATACATTTCTCTGACCCTTTTGAACCACTTACCATATCATAGACGTTGAGGATGATCGGCTCGTTGGCCATCACTGGCATCAGACTGTTTTCAGGCTGTTTTCAGGCTGTGTTCTCCCCTGACGTCCCTTCCTCTCTGCGGGTCTTCCTCCTCCGCACACCCCTTACTCCTTCCTCCCGAGATACAAACTCTCGCCCTTCCCAAAATAGACCTCACTCCCTCACCCTGATCCCTGGCACTTTCACGACAGATGATCAGCTCGATATTTCAATTTCACAACCCGGTGTAGAAAAGCTTGAGGAGGGTATTTTTTTGTACCGTCCAACATCTGACTGGCTTTGTCCAGATGACAGCTGCTCGTCTTGTCACTGACTTGCTAAAAAGCTACCGAGGTCGAGGTGAAAAAGCGGACTTTAAAGGGGGAATAATGTCTTCCAGGAGGCGCTTTAACACGGAAAAATCGCAAATTCATTTTTCCTAAACGAAATACTCAGCAAAATGACATGATGCTGAGGTATTAAAGTGTATTTCCTCTCGCTACTCCCTTATTAGCTAGCTAACGGTAGCGCTGGAGCTGGTCGGCAGGATGCTATGCGACTGCTGCTGGGAGAGAAAACTGAACAGTGAGATTGGGCGAGGAGCAGAGCGGTACAATTAATCCACACTCGATTATTAAACCTTGGTGCATTGAGCATTGTGGGTAATGTAGTTCTTGGATTAAAGAAAACCCCTGTACAAAAATTAACTATGTAGACACAAGTTTCTGGACACACTTGTGACTGTATTAAATTGTACTGACTTGGGCTTTAGTCAGTGACGGAAAGATAAGATAAGATTTACTTATGTACAAATGTACTTACCTGTTTATTTCTTCAAAACAAATTCAGTTCAAAGTAACAACACAACTATACATTTAAATACAACAGAAACAATTGATTGATTTGGAAATTAATTGGTAAGAGGTCAAACATTTCTGCATTCTTTCAGCTCTTTTACACTAACATTTTTCTGATTACACTTAATTAGTAAAAATGTATGTTACGAAGACTAAGAAACAATTAGTATTATGGAAGATGGTCCAAATAGTTAAAATATATCCTAAAATGAATATGATTGGGAAAATACCCTGCTAAACCGCTATTGAGAACCTTAATTTTGTAAACCTTGATTATTTGTGAACTTGATATGCTTTGTGTTTTGTTTAAATGAAAGAGTCACAGTTACCACAGCGCATGTTTAAAATACAAGACGGTATGATAGCTCCATATTCAAGTTTTATTTTAATAGCCACTTTGTGTGCCGACACTGCACGTCATTCCTGGACATCTGTATGGACATGAAATGGGTATTTGTCATAAAGCATTAAGACTTGGTCCTCCTTATAATCCATCATGGTCCTTTTCCTCACTTTGTCTTGCAGGATTTGAAGCATGAACATCCAATTTTACAGCATAATGCTTTGCTAAAACCTGTAGCAAGAGGTTTCCATTGCATCAGAATCCATGTTTCTCAGATCCAAGCTCATGAGCCCTGCTGGTTGTTTTCTCCCAGCAGTTCCTCCAGCGTCTCCTGGTTGGAAAACTCCTGCAGCGAGGAGTTCATCTCCTCCAGCAGGTCCTCCCCCAGCAGGAAGTTCTTCATGTCGTGCACCGTCAGCCCGATACGGTGGTCCGTTATACGGTCCTGGGGGAAGTGGTACGTTCGAATCTTCTCTGATCTGCCTTTCGTGCCAATCTGGAGGGTAGAAAGAAGAAATTGGAGAGAAAGAAAATTGATCATCTAAGGCAGCGGTTCCCAACCTGTGGGCCGCCAAATAATGTGCAAAACATTATGATTTGTGTGGAAACAATTCATTATTAAGATTTTTTTTATTTGAACCTCTTTTCCTTTCTCTTTCTCGATCATCCTTAGCAACGGTCATTACAGTCCTTGACAGCGGTCTGTACTACTGGATTAACAATGTGTCACATGTTCTGTACTGTGGGCAATCCCCACAGGAGCAATTTGGGGTGAAGTGTCTTGCCCAGGGACACAACGACATGCTGACTGCAGTGGGACTCGAACTTGCTACACCATGATTCGAAGTCCAGCACACTAACCACTGAGCCACAGCCTCCCAAATCAGAATTGTATTTAGCCTCCGTATTGTTTATGGTTGAATGTGGGCCGCGAAAAAAAATGATATTCTTAAGTGGGTCCTGACTTGAAAAAGGTTGGGAACCGCTGATCTAAGGGTTTGTTTGAAATATATAAAACATTAACAGGCTCCCTTGCTGCTTTTTTAAATTTCTTTTACCTGTTTTTAGCAAACCATGTACATTAACTTAATCAGTTTTTACAAAGTAAAACATCACTTAAAACCTATATTTTATATTCTACTTAAATGATCACTTGCACATCATATTATACTGTATTGTTCTGTATTGTCGCTGTGTCCCACCTGTATTTTCCGCTGGTTGTAGCGTTTGCTCGTCTCCTCCTCTAACTTAATGCTGTACAGTTTTGCTCTCAGAGCCTTCATGGCTTTCTCCTTGTTCTTTATCTGGGAGCGCTCCTGCTGGCACTCTGCAACGACGCCTGATGAACACACACAAGCATTAAAGCACTATTCTTAGGTTGGAATCTCAGTAGGGGTCCTCATTTCATTCAGTGAGAGACAGACCCACACAGACACACAGCAATACAACTCTACTTAAACTAACTTTGATTGTTAAGTTATGTGACATGGAGCCTCATGTTGTGAGTCTTATTGGAACCTTGCTAATAAAGTTTGTCTGGGTTTTTTATGTAAATGTAGGAAACCTCCTGTATGCGTTTCCTTTGTCCATACATACTAAACATTACATTACGTTACATGTCACTTGTTAGACGCTTTTATCCAAAGCGACTTACATACTCAATACTGTGGACAATCCCCACAGGAGCAATTTGGGGTGAAGTGTCTTGCCCAGGGACACAACGACATGCTGACTGCAGTGGGGTTTGAACCTGATCCGAACACCAACGCACAACCCACTGCACCACACGCCAACTGTTGTTTAAAACAGTACATACAATACATTAACATTAAAATGTTAATGTATTGGGAATGTCATTGGAGAAAAGGGAAGTTGTATTTCGCTTTAAGAAATTTAAAATCCTTATTACAAATGTCTTTATCTTGGCTCTTTGATGTGTTAAACTACTTTATCCAGTCCAGTTGTTGGGGTTAGGTTGGAATAAATAAGTATCATATGAAAATTCTCTCCAGCGTTATTGCATGTAAATATAGATGATTGAAACATTGTAAAATAAAAATAAAGTCAACAAAGGCTAAAACGTTTTTTGGGGGTCATACTGTTAATGTCCCACTAATTCTAACTATTACAACATGAGGTGTTTTCAGTGTTTACCTGTGGGCAGATGGACGATTCTGACTGCACTGTCTGTGGTGTTGACATGTTGACCTCCAGCTCCACTCGCTCTCTTAGTTTCAATCTTCAGGTCCTTGGAGTTTATCGTGAAGGAGATCTGACAGGAACACACAATCATTTATTAAAGTAACACCAGATGTGCAGAAGAACAAGCTTTCTCCTAAATATCCTACCTGTACTATTACAATTATGAACGGAGAAACAACTTTTAAACTTTGACCAAGTCACATCCTTTTTGTTTTCCTCATATTTATAATACACACAGATTAAGCAATAAATGCCAACCATATTTACCATGTCTCCGCCAACCAGTCAAGTTGCAGTTTACACTCATGTCCAAACAAACTGTAATCATTGTACCTTAAAAGACATTTGTGTGAAATTGTCCTAATTCATGCCTGGATTTTTTAGACTTTTTTGTCAGGGAAAACAAATTTGGAGATCAGTGCCAGTTTTCGAAAATTCAGATGGACAGATGGACAACCCGAAAAAAATAATCCCAGCAACAGTCTTGACCAGAGGCCATTTGATTCTAAAATATAACACAATAAAGATTTGAGTGCTTTTGCTTTAGTTACAACAAAGTAATCTTCTCTGACTATTCCAAAATTCTGCAATTCAGAATCATTTTCCATCCACCTGTAATGATGCCTGTAGAAAAACGTTGTTATTGCATCATGTGAAGCTGTACCTCAGTGGGCTGGGGCAGTATAGCCACCGTCATGGTGCTGGTGTGCATCCTGCCGTGTTTTTCAGTCTTGGGAACCCTCTGAACCCGATGGACTCCGCCCTCAAACTTCATCCTCTTGTAGCTCTGAGAGCCGCTGATGCTGGCCAAGGCGCTGCGCACTCCACCTGAGCAACAAGTACCAAGAGTCAAATGTAAGATAAGATAAGATAAGATGGACCTTTATTAATCCCCGTGGGGAAATTCAGTAGTTCAAACAGCAACAAGGTAAGATTGAAAAACAGGACAGCACATATTCACACAGGTTAATACAATTAAAGATCAAATCAAAGATAAAAATAAAAATGATGAAAAACTATTAAATAAGAAATGAGTATATATACATATTGGGTCATATAAACTATGAAGTATTGGTACAACAACATGTAGAAATGACAAATGTTTGTTCCCGTGATAGTGACTCTAATCGGTTTATTTAATATCCGTTTCAGTATTTACCTTTCCTTAACATGTTTTTTTTAAGTTTCTTCAATTGTCTTATTTAAACGTCATACTGTATATGGGCATTACTTAGTGACCACTCAAAAGTTCTCTACACAGAAAGGGCTCCCCCTTGAGTTTAGTGTTAGGTATTGCAATATTGAAACGAAAGTCAAAAACAGAAGGTTTTTTGCATTTTTGTGCTGACATCCTGTATCTTATTACCACCCAATCCGTACCTTCAGTCGCAAGTTAGAACACAAAATGGTGTATTTTTCCACTGTCAACTTTATATAGAAGAAACAGACAAAGTGTAATTCACACTGTGATGTTCCTGGCATATTCAGACAGTCAAAATAACAGAATTCAGAAGAAGGTGTATACATGACCAGGCACTCTTATTTTGAAAACTGACAAGCAATCCAGCTCTCCTAACATTATGTTATCCTGAGTCCAATTGTATCCTAAATTATACTCTAACCTAGTTACGGTTTTTGCATGACTGTTACGTAAATAGTATTACCAAAGTTAAGCTACACATTGAGTCAGTTCTGTTCTATTAGCAAAGGTTTTAAGATATTTTAAGATATCGACCACTGATGTTGCCCCCCAAATACAATCTGGTGAAAAATGTTAAGTGCTGGAAAATAGTTTGTAATGATTTTTCGTTACCTGACTCTATAATGCGGCTATAATCACAACAAACTGTCTCCACTAACCTAAGTCATTGGTCATGTACTCCAAGATGTCGAAGGACCAGCCATGGTGATAAGCATATCCCTGGTACATGTGAAACACCTTCAGAGGAGAGAAGACGAGTCGGCGTGTTAACATACAGGTTTGTTGCAAATGACTAATTCACATAGGTACGACATTTTGAAATGCAATATTTTTCTCTATATAAATAAATATGTAGAGATTTTCTTATTCAGTTATTTTTTCAAAAGGCCCACTATCTAATACAAATAAATACTTCCAGACCTCATTGGTAAACAGCATTGCCTCCTGACCCCCGACACCGGCTGTGACCTCCAGCACGAGGTCGCTCAGATCTGCCTCCTCCTCAGGGATCAACAGATTCAGGATCTGATTGGTGAAGCAGGTTAATATGAAAGAAAGTTAAAACAACATCAATGAAACATCTAAAGTGAAACAAGTACAGGACGATAAATCAGCAATGGAAAGCAATTGACTTTTTACTGTAACGTTACTTTATGCTGCAAACTAAATACCTCCTGTCTAATATCTTGTATTTCTTGCAAACATCCTTCACTCTCCAGCTCTGCCAGTTCTCGCAGGGCTGGGTCTTCATCTATGAGGAGAAACCAAATGAATTCAATTATGTAGTGATATATAGTATGTGTGCCATGTGATGATTTATTGATATCAACAGTTAAAAAGTTCAAAAAGTAAGAACTGAATTGAGATTGATAGTTAATATTTGTATTTTGAGAATTGCATTATAGATATCATCAATTAGATTAGATTCCTTTATTGTCACTACACAGAGTACAGCAAAATCCCAAGCATTCTCGATGGTGCAATCACACATAACAGACCGTATAAGTATAATTTTGACAATACAAGCTAAAACGTTTAATATATAAAGTGACTATGAATTGGACCTATGATACATTGAACAGTACGCTTACAAGACAATACAACATTACCATACAAATACAAATACAAGAACAATACGGCCAAGGCAGTAGAAAATGTAAACAAGTCAATAAGTAAGTTATTGCACATGTATCAGTGCAGTTGACTAGAAATAAATATGTGTTCTATAAAAACGGTATGAGGTAGAATATAAGGTGATGATAATTGCAACTATTCACAATGACATTATGAGTAAGTTGTAATATTGAGTGGTATTTAAAGGGCTTGCTGTAACGCCTCACCTTTCAGCAGCGCTTCGGTCTCAGCCATCTCTCTCTGCTTGGCGTCCAGCTCTCTGATGCTCTGGATGAGAGGAGCCAGCAGGGACACTTTGGTCCTCTTGGACATCAGCGTGTCCTCACTGGACTGCTCCTCTGGCACACCGCTGTTGGCTGCTCTCAAACATTCATTGTACTCCGCCTCCGTCTTCTTCAGGTATTCCTGCAGGGATTTCTTCGAAAAAAGCTCATCCACTGACAGTATCTTGGCCACCATCAAAGGTGTGCCAGTGTGAAGAGTTCTTGTAGTTCTGCCACAGTGATGTTGAGGAAATCTGACAGTTTGGCTGATGGCATTTGGGGATTTGTGTAAACAAGGTATGCACAAGCTGTAGACACAATCCTTTCCTCTTGGAAGAAGGTGTATGGCTCTTCTGAAAGCCATTGTGTGAAAAGATGATCTGATTTGTTGTGAAGATTCACTGAGGGGTCAGATCAAGATATGACTTGGCTTTTGCAAATTATCCTCTCTTGTCCGGGAGCAAACATTAGCCAAATTCCACTAGAAACATTTAGGATTTTCTCTTTTCATTTGTAAAAAAAGCAATACATGTTCTTACAATTGCTATGTTAAGATAGATTCTGTTTCCAATCAAGTCATTCTAGAATTCGGCATCATTTTTTAATGATAAGCAGTGTTTTAAATTGATGCAATTGTATATTCATTAATAAGTTTATGTCGCCAACAATGTCTGGCAATTTGTTATGGTTTCCTGCGAATTAAGACCAATACAGCTAAAACAGGAAATATGTTTTTGAATTTATAAACAGCTGCTATGGCTATTAACCTAAAAAACAAAATGATAGCATTGAGAAGGTAATCAACTCAATGAGGGTTTCTTTTTAGCTAATAAGTCATCTTAAAATCCAATTACAAACCTTAAAATGTCTCCATTTGATATATCCAGTTATCGGAACAGCAGTGTGACTATAAATAACAAAAATTCGGTCATAAATTGTCTAAAGGCAGTCTAGCAACTGATTGTTAATAGTTGTTATGAAAATACGTTTCCTTTTACCACCTTGCTGAAGGGCGCAGACATATTGAATGTAGTACGCATGCGCAAAGAGGGTAAGCTCTTCTTCTACGGAAAATTACTGCAGACTTAAATCCCTACAGACCCCCCTGCAGGGGTTCGCTTTGCAAGTTCGTTTTCACAACATGTGAGTGTGCTTTTGTCTTGAGAACAAGCGTTTTCAAGACTTAAAAAAGACGGAGGTCATCTCAATAATTTCCCCCTGGTGTGGCCAGGGGGAAGACGAGAAAGTCTGTAGCCTGACACTGTAAATCCTGTCTATAGGTTCAAGGTTCTTTATTTAGTCAAACGAACATAGCTACAGTGTAGTTATGCCGATGACAATCTTAGGTCACAGGCTTCTCCAACAGTGCAACACAAAACACAGATAAACAGAAAAATAAGTAAATAGTAAATAAAAAAAGTGGACCTATCATGCTATATTTAAATGATATATTGTAGGGCCATACCTATATAAGGTATATTTATACGTTTCTGTTTTCAAAATACCGGAGGGATTTCTTCCTGAGCCGCTGGGAGTAAAGATCCTTCATGGATGGCAGCTCCGTCCTGGTGTTGTTCTGTGCAGTTTTTGTATACAGGTGTTGCGAGCAAATAGTAGGAATTTTTTTTTTTTTTGGTTTTAGTAAAACAGTTTTTTTCATATTAAATATCTTTATACCTTCTTTTCCTTTAAGTTAGTTTTTATGATTGTATTATTTTATTTATTTCATTATCATTTTATTATATTTTATTATTTGTATTATTATTTCATTATGATAATTATAATGTTATGTTGTACACGTCATTATAGATTTTTGAATAATTATTTTATTGTTTTTGTATTTAGTTCATTTTTTTAATTAATTTATTGTATTTTTTATCATTATTTTTTTATTATTTTTAATGTATTTATATTATCTTATGTTGTGTTATTATTATTTTGCATGTATTTATCAAAAAAATTCTTTCTTTTTTCATTAGAAGTTTTTGTATTTTTGTATTATTATTGTTATTGTAATTATTTATTTAAATATTATTTATATGAATTATTATTTAATTATTCATTGTTTATGTATCGATATCACTTTTTTATTTAATTGATTTATTCATTGTATTTTTACTTGTCTTTATTGCCATTTTAATTTTTTAGGAATTTATTTACAAATGTGTTATTATTATTATTATAATTTTATTTTGTAAGTTAAAATACATGTAGAAATACATTAAAGATATATAATAATGAAAGTTCTGTTTTATTCTCAACTTATATTTTTTTATTTATACATTTATTTATTTATTTCCATATTTATACATTTTTTCTTGTGTTCATTTAATCCTGTATTTATTCCTGTATTTATGCATTTATAATAATAATAATACGTTTTATTTATAAAGGAGCCTTTCTAAGCTCTCAAGGTTGCCGTACAAGGTACACAAAACAAAATATCACAAAACAACACAATATAATCAATAAAAACAGAGGATGTTATACATTTGTGTATCATGTCATGCTCTGTCCTCCATACCCGTGTGCTCGTTTTGTGTATAAAGGTACAAATTCACTCCAAATCACATCACAGCAACACCTATAGTTGGGCCTTCTAGTTCCAGAAACATATCGGTGGTCCAGAGGTCTATTCATTGGTTTTCCCCTCAGGTGCTCAAGGTACAACACCCAGGGGAGGGACTTCTTTTGTCTTTTGCTATGCTGATGTTAAATCTGGAGAAATTGCCCCCACCACTTTTTCTAACAAAGTGACGCCCATGTTTTAGTGAATTCTCATACTGCATAATGCATGGGGTCAGTAGTTGCCAACTTTGATTGTGCTGTCTCCTACAATTGTAATGACAAATTGGATTGATGCTAGGATAATCATTTCAGTAGCATTATGCACATCAGTATGCAAAGATTATCAGTGTCAGGTCAGAAGGGGAAACTTACGTATCTCTCTCTCTATCTGTGTGGTACTGGGACTTCAGAAGGTATTTTCTTTTCCCACTCAGTTGTACTTGTTTGTCCAACTTCCAACTTCACTTTGTTGTTGTCTAAATATGTTGGGTATGACTGGGAGAGGATTTGGCACCCTTGTTGTATTTGCCTATAATGCATCTGAAATATTTAAAGTAACAAACTACATACTGCAACCCCCCTCCCCTGCCTGGTTTCAATGAAAGAGCCACTTCACACATTCCAGGTGGGGGTGTGACTGTGAACTGGACTGTCCTGTGAATGCAGTCTGTCTGTTCTTCTTCTCAAACAGTGGGATTCCTGACAACAATTAGAAGTAGACAGCTAAACAAATATCTGAAATATCATTTTCATCACTTCCAGCAGACCCTTTTAAAATATATCATTAATTTCACATAATAATTGTAATCAGAATCATACGCAAGATACCTTCCCCCTTTATATACATGCTCTATATACATTTGTAAAAAGTAAACTGTCCATCAGATCGTTTTTAAGGAACATCAAACTTGTTGAACATAACTTTAAAATGCTTCACTTTAGTGAAACTGTTTCAGGAATACTATTTAAAGATGTTTCAATTGTATTTTACGTGAAAACCAACAGGTCGATGTACCATGCACTCCCTTGGCATTAGTTATAAGTAGATATGAATTTGTTTTTTTAAGGTTTACCGTCAACAACCGCTCCAATATTAATGCATATATTCTGTAACACCTTGTAACACTCAATTCGGCTTAGGTTTACTACTTTTGTATACTTCATTACTGTATATGACACACTTTTTGTACATGTTAACAACAGTGCATTTTCAGTGCATCGGATGGGAAAAGGAAATACCATTGAAACCACGTCGACTGACATCACTTCCTCAAAATGTTAGAACCTCAAATCCCATTGGTTGATGGTTTAAAGGGGCACACTTCCGGTCGATGTGATTGGTTGCCGCATTTTGCGCACGGATTTCAAATAGAAGCAGAAACTGGCGGATGTTCAGTTGAGGAACATTTCATTTGGAATCGGCAAACACAGGAGTCAGACGAAAGATAGCTCAGCGGTAAAAAGGAGGGAAGCGAGGGTCAGCTTTGGATAACGATATTTACAAGCCTAAGGTAAGAGCCTTTGCTTAATATCCTATGGACTATGAATTGCTAATGTTATTATTAAGTATTAGGATGTTCTGTCAGCTTTGTTAATAGCATTGGCACTTTAATTTCGCTGGATTAAGATTAATAAGTGTTGGTTAAACGTTGATAAATATATATTATCTGAACAATCTCAGCCGAAAAATACTGCATTTCAGAGTACAATAAGAACCTTAGTTTGAGTTCTGAATGCAATAGTATGAGTAATGAAAGTTAGCTACTTGGTTAGAAGCTACTTCCATGCGTCCCACTGTACGCGCGTAAATGCATGATTATAGTGATAACTAAGCGATGTATTTGATATGAAGCATTTATCCCGTAATGTTCAACATATCATCGTACAATATACATGTAATGTAACTACCCACTTATTTAGCGTATGCATTTAAAGACTGCTATAGGGAATCTGGGTACGTTCACGTCACCGATACGTTTCCGCCAAATCTAGGTACATCGCGCCAAAATCAATTATTTGAAAAGTGATATAAACTAAACTATCCCAACCGTGTTAAACGTTTATAATACAAGTTTAACTGCAATATAGTCACTTCGTATGACTTTCTCTTATGTCAAGAAACGCATTAGTTACCTTCTATTAGCGGGGAGCTAGGTTGGCTTGCACAAGAGAAGCCATGTTGCCTGGCAGTCACATTGAATATGTGTTAACCCAATTAACTCCTGATTTGTCTTTTTTATCCAGATATCTTCATTGTGCGCAGTGTGTTTTACTGTCAAAGTCATCATGAAATGCCCTCACTACGAGTATACATTGGCCAACAATATGGATATAAGCGCTGCAGCAGACTCCAGGGTGCTTCACCTAAAAGCTTCCCCAGTGAAAGAGCCCCTCCCCCTCAAACCCCAGTGCCCACCTGCTGGAGTGACCACAGAGTTGTTCTCTCACAACAACAACACCAAAGCAGTCCACAACAAGGAAAACGGCACCAACAAAGAGCATGCCAGGACTCTGGATGAAGTGTTTGAGGACAGTGGCTATCTGTCTCTGCACAATAGTCAGATCGATGATAATCATGGGGTGGAAGAGGGTGAACACATCCATGAAAAACCAGCAGCACCCCTGCCACCTTCAAATGTGGCAAATCATCAAAAAAAGACAACTCCAAATAATTCTCCCACTAAATATAAAGGAAGGACTGACTGTAACCGGCAAGTGTCTCTGGAGGTAGCTTCTACTCCTGTGGATTGCCATACAAGGAGAACAGTGACATACTCGCTGTCATCCACCCCGTCCGAGCATCACAACGACCCCAACCTGCCCATACTGAAGTTCCAGAAGGCAGTTTGTGAGGAACTTGCAAAGAACTATCGTAAGAATAAGAGGTAAGATAATTATGCATATCTGATAACAAAGACTTTACCTGCTCCGATTTGCACACAATAGGTAACACACAGACCTACCCATTCTTAATTAGTCTGCATTTAGATGTGGAATAGTATACAAGGTTCTGCTTTTGGGATATCTTCCCAATATCAAAATCAGTGTCGCATATCTAGTGAAACATTTTAAAGGTTAGGAGGACCATAAACGACAACCATTCTCTACCAGAATCAAAGCTGGCAGACATGCCTGAGATCAATTTTGGGGTCTCATTTTACGGGGCCACTCTGCTAAACCTAAACTAATTTCAAATTTGATTCCTTGTTTCAGTTTAGACTTTAATGAACATGTACAATCGTCTTCCTGTGTCTCAGGTATGACTGGAGCATCGTCAACAAGGTTGCAGAGCATCATCTTTTGGATCGGGTGATCGGAGGCCATATGGGCCAGGAGTACATCGACGTGTTTTCGTGTCTTCTGTCCAGGAACATGAGAAGCATCCTGACCAACATCCTGGCCCTGCTGGGAGACATGGACCTCATCAGGTAAACTACAAATGCT